TATATATATATATATATATATATATATATATATATATATATATATATGAGATAGATAGATAGATAGATAGATAGATATCTGTCTTGTTCCTGCAGCTGCTTTTCTAACATCCTTCTACCAGTATACCCACTGTCCCTCCTCTGGACGTGTCCAAACCATCTCAGTCTGGCCTCTCTAACTTTATCTCCCAGTTGTTCAACCTGTGCTGTACCTCTGATGTTCTCATTCCTGATCTTATTCATCCTTGTCACTCCTAAGGAGAACCTGAACATCTTCATTTCTGCCACTTCCAGTTCTGTCTCCTGTCTTTTTGTCCATGTCTCTGTCTCCAGACCATACAACATAGCTGGTCTCACCACTGTCTTGTAAACTTTTCTTTTGACCTTTGCTGACACCCTTTTAGCCATAAATCCCTCCTGAACTCTCTTTTTCACCTCTTTACCACACTCACCATTTCCCTGGACAGTGGACCCCAAGTACTTGAAGTCCTGACCTTTGTGACCTTTGTGACCTCTGCTCCTCGTAGCCTCACTGTTCCACCGGCCTTCCTCTCATTCACACACATACACTTTGTCTTACTACGGCTGACTTTTATTCCTTTTCTTTAAAGAGCATACCTCCACCTCTCCAAGTTCTCTTCCACCTGTTCCCTGTTCTCACCACAGATCACAATGTCATCTGCAAACTTCATAGTCCACGGAGATTCCTGCCTGACCTCATCTGTTAGTCGGTCCATCACCAGAGCAAACAAGAAGGGGCTCAGAGCCAAGAATCAAAGTTATTCATTGAAAATATATACATTTTAAAGTCTGTGGTTAAGGGGGAGTGAAGACTTTATTAGCCTAAAAAAGAAAGCTACTGTTTTGATTTATAGGGGGTTTGTTGCACACAAGCAACACATGTTGCTAAACACAATGTTCGCTACATGTAGGGGACTTTATTAAATCAATATTAATTAATAAGCTTATTAACTTATCACTGTTGTAAAGCCCCCTGTGGTTTCACTTTTTTATACAATTCTAAGAATAACGTCTCGCAACGTGTTGCAGGAATATTATTCAACTTTTCAGTTTGTTGTATGTGGATTTGTTCTTTTCTCTTGCAGCTTTTACGTTGCTCCACATTCACTGACCTGAGTTGATATAACTCCCCCTCCTCAGGTATCTCTCCATCAATCACCCATAACACGAGGAGTAAATCAATAAAGATGGACGATAGATGGCAGATGGCCTTCAGAGACGGTGCGTGCACACATTCAGAAAGTGATAAAAGAGATGTAGGTTTTTGTAAATGGACTTTTGGAAACACACCTCCCCCATGACCAATAGATCTTAGACATGACTGGACCAATGAACCGTCCATAGAGATTTCTGTCTCTTTGTTGTTGTTGCTGTTGTTGTTTTTATTTTTGGTGCTGAATTTCCCTCTTCTTTTGTGATAAAAGCTTTTTTTAAAGCAAATAATAATTGTGTAAGATGACTAAAACACATTAAGGCCACCCAAAATGGCTAAAATAAAAATAAAGAACAAACAAATGAAGATGTTTCAGCTGGTAGTGTTTAATTATTATTATTATTATTATTATTATCGGTTTAATTTACACAGAACATGTTCTGATTTAGCTGGTAAGGTTCATCAAACACAAGAATACTCCATTAACTGCTTTACCAGGTTTTGTTGTAACCTGGGAGCTTGTTAGGGAAAGCCTGGCATGCAGTAAGTAAACACGTGTCACTGAACGCTGACATAAACCCAACAACAAGGTTTAAAGTTGCCAAAGAAAATAATGATTCATGTGACCATGAAGAGAAACATCCCAGGTGGTTAATTAGTTGTGCCAAACGTGTAAAGCCTGTTGGTACTTCCATAACTCAAAAGGAACTGCTCCCATGATAGACCCCACTTTGTTATAAGGAGGCCACATTAGTAATTATAGACTAGCACAGTAACAAATCATGATGTGGTTATTGTTCTCTTCTTAAAAAATAAAAACAATTCTAATCGTAATCAGTCCTTTTAAAGTGTTTTTATGGGTAGGAATGTTCTATTGATGATTGGAGAACACTGGCATGCCAGACTGCTGTCGTAATGACATTCCTACGCTTCAGCATTGTCACACTGAATGCAGCCATCTGCAGCTTTCTTCCTCACTCAATGTCCAACCGAGAAGATTTGGTCAGAGAGGAGGCGAGCCGCCTCTCAAACAGCAATCGCTGTTCAGCAAACTGACGAATGAAAGACGAGATGGGGAGAGTTGGGCAGGAGATGCATGGAGACGAGAAGTAAGGTTGCGTTGTTCTTTTTTTGCAGGAGAATCTCACAGAATGGCTGAATGTTTGTCAAAAGGCCCCGTGGGACTACGTTGACATGCCTGCTGCAAAGTCATATGAACTGGTGTGTTGAACACGCAAACACACACCCACAGTCTTTCATAGTGCAAACCCCGAGGGGAGGATAGTTGGATGCTGCTGGAAGTCTGCAAGCAGCTGCTTTCTTGACCTGCTGCTAAAGATGCAACTGTTCTCTGAGTCAAAGAGAAATTTTAGATTTAAAATATCTTCTCACTAACGAGTTGATTTGTCGTTTCTTTTTTTAAATGACAGGAAGTTGTAAAATTTCATCAACAGCTTTCTTCTGCTGGTACTCAGTGTTGTATGGGACATCCGATCATTTGTTTTCTTTACCCACTTTTCCATTCAAGGTGGTTGGGTGTGCCAGTCCCCAGTGGTCATAGTGGGAGAGGCAGGGTACACCCTGCAGGTCACAAGTCCATGACAGGACATTTCAAGTGTCCGTCAGGAGTTATTATAATTTTTTTTTTTTTTAAATTTTCAATGTCAGTTCCTCTGTTGGATTTGAAAACCTGTTGTTTTACACTGTGAACATGCTTAATACGCACATTATTCACAGTTTTTGTTTGCTCAACAAATGTATGCATCTTTATCAACTACAATTTGTACAACTAAAACAATTCAATTCAGTTTATTTATTTAGCACCAAGTCACAACAGAAGTCGTCTCAGGGCACTGAACAGAAACATCCATACATAAAAATAATAATTTAACATTATTTATCTGAGGAGCAGACTGCTTTGAATTTAACGCCATCACAAAACTCTCATCTTGAGCAAGCATGAAGGCGACAGTGGAAAGGAAAAACTCCCTCATGAGGAAGAAACCTTTAGCAGAACCAGGCTCAGGACAAGCGACCATCTGCTTCGACTGGCTGGGTTTGGTAGGAACAGATACACAATGGCAGGTCAAGAATCTCTTAAGGTAGAAATAGTATCAAATGAAAACTATTCAATTTTAACAATTCATTTAAGGAAAATAGGTCAATTTGTCCTCCAGTAGTCTAAGTTTAAGGCAGCAACAAGCCAACCCTAACTATAGGATTTATCAAAAAGGAAAGTCTTAAAACTGGACAGTGTGTCAGCCTCATGGACAGAAACTGGAAGTTGGTTCCACAAGAGTGGAGCCTGATAACTGGAAGATCTTCCTCCCATTCTGCTTTTGGAAACTTTAGGGACCACAAGTAAGCCTGCAGTCTGAGAGTGAAGTGCTCTGTTAGGAAAATATGGAACAATAAGATCTGTAATACAAGATGGAGCTAGGTTGTTGAGAGCTTTGTAGGTCAGAAGTAGGATTTTGAATTCTATTCTGGATTTGACAGGGAGCCAATGGAGAGAAGCTAAAACTGGAGAGACATGATCTCTCCTACTAACTCCAGTTAAACCTCTGGCAGCAGCATTTTGGATCAACTGAAGATGTTTTAAAGAAGTATTTGGACACCCAGATAACAAACCATTGCAATAGTCCAGTCTAGATGTGACAAATGCATGAACCAGTTTTCTGCATCATTTTTAGATAAGATGTTTCCAGGTGGAAAAAGGTGGTTTTGTTCTGTTGTTTTGTTCTTCTATAACCAGAACAATATTTTAAATCATCTGTGATAGTAAAAGGTTCGGGCTTTTGCTGATTTTCAGCATCAGTTTTGCATCATGCTTACTAATATTTAACAAAAGATGACAATTCTGCATTTTATTGCTAAATTACTGATCAGTATGCTTTTTATTCACTATTCTACAAAACACAGTCAACACCATTGACTCAACAGATTTTTCTACCAGAATAGAACAATTTTTTTTTTTTTTACATCTGTTTGCAATAATTATTTATTGAAAAGTGAAAACAAAGTAGGAGTCAAAGATTTCATAGAAGACACAGAGTACATCTTGAGTCTACACTTTTATTTCCTTCAGTAAATGTATCATGGATTAAATGAACATTCTTGGGAGGTAATTGAGAACAAAGCATTCTGCATATGTAAAACATGCAAAGACAAGTGAATCTTTTCCATATAAAGTAAAACGGTCACAGTAAAATAGCAGCTCTACAAGGACTCCGACTCTTCCAGTCTTATTGATTTCTGTTAGCTAGCAAAATCAGATTAGGCACTCGTCAATAACTGCTTTGACTTTCAAATTATTTTTTTGTTCTTTCTTCTTGTTGTTCCCTCATGCTAGCAAGCAGAATCTTCTACCACATGCACAAACAATGTTCAGCTGAAAAAAATAAATAAATAAGTGAGAGTTGATGACTAAGGAATGCACCGAGGCACGACTTTGGTTTTTAATGTGAACACGTTCCAGAGAAACCTAATTCCTCCCCTGACAAACACGTGTAGCATTAAAAGCTAACTGAACCCTACCTCGTTACTACACTAGACTGGTTCTTCTCCAGATGACCACGACTCAGCCTCAACTTCAGACTCCTCGGAATGGACCAACACTTTTTTCACTTCCACGTGCACCTGTTCCTGCTCTTTCATGGCGCCCAGGTCTCCAGACGAGTCAACCTCTGACTTGGAGTTTCCATTAACCACCTTTGGCTTTCCCAAATTTCCCCAAACCTGGTTATCGGTGAATTCTTGATTCTGATTAGTTTGCTCAACTGTTTCATTCCATTCTGGTTTATAAGTGGCTCCGCTCTCTAGGGAGGACACCCAGAAATCATTCTTTACATCAGAAGTGAAGAGGCTATGGAGGCTGCGGTCTGTTGCATCTTTCACTATGAAGATGTCGTTTTGAATGGGTACACTGTCAGGGGTAGTTTTGAAAGGCTCTTCTTGATGTGTGATGACATCATCTTCAGCTAATTCTGGCACATTTTCATAGTTTTGATCATGTTTCTTTTGCTCTCTGACCTCTAATACTTGTATTGGCTTTTCTAAAGCTTCCCATTCATCTGTTTCTGCAGGAAACTTGGGAAAGTTCTCAGTATCGTCAATGACGTGTTCTTGATAATCTTTGGGTGTTTCTATAGGTAGGGCCTCTGGTGCAGCAGGTATGTCATGCAGGTTTATCTGATCTGCTTTCACCTGTACCACAGAGTCTGGATCCTCTGGGTTCTTTGTGTCCTCCGTAGCTTCTATTTCAGGTCTGCTGATGAACTCAGTGAAGCCAAAACAGCCTTCTGTTGCGTCAGCATCCGGTGCTATGAATACATTGTGTTCACCTTCTCCTCCTTTCTCTGGCTCATCCATGGTTTTGTGGTCTTTGTGTTGTACTTCTTCAGCTATAGTGTTTGATGGATGCATCACTGCATATGGCTCACTAAACACTTGGCCGTCTAAAGTTTGTTCTAGAGTCGATAATACGTCTTCACGGTTTTCACTCGTTCCAGGCTCACTGGAAGACGAGCAGTCTGCTTTTGCTTTTTCAGGCTCCGCTTGCTCATTCACCTCCTCCACAGACTTGTCATCCATTTGTAGGATTTCTTCACCGATTTGCTGCTGTGCAGAATGAACACTGTATCTATCCGTCGACAGTTTTTCTAATTCCTGTTCCATGACTTTCTCTGTCACTAACTGTTTGTCATAGTCTACATCGGTGTGTATAATGGCTCCCACCGGCTCTTCGGTTTCTTTTTTCCAACGTTCCTCGCTGACATTTTTCAGCATCTCTTCTGAATTTTCTCTGTCAGTCACCACTGTAGCATGCTCACTTACGATTGTACCTTGGCTGACATCTCTATCTTCAGCGTGAGTGTATCCCAGATTGTAGTCCTCGTCTACTGTTTCTTCTTCAACTTCCTCACATAAATCTTCCATAGTACCAAATGTCTTGGACTTGTCGCTCCACATTCCCGTTCCTGCCTCGTCCATCTTTTTGTCCTGCTCACCTTCACTGGACTCGCTCTCGTCAATGTGCGATGCTTGGGTGTTAGCGTCCGTGTCATCGCTTTTATATCGAATCAAGGGACGAGTGTCAGCAACAGTGTTTTCTTGAGCATAGCTGTCACTCTCCAGCTCCATCCTCCACGACACAGACACATTCTGAGAGTCCTCTTCGTAAATTTCTTCTTTGTCAGGAGACACAGTGTGTCCTTGGTCCAACGTAGTGTCTTGTCCTTCATCCACTTGTGTTAGCATCAATGAAGAGGCCACATCGTCAGTCTGGAGAGCTTCTATGTTCTCTGGTTCTTTTGCTGATATGTCCTCCTCTGGCTCAGCATGTTGTTTTGGTTCTTCAGTTTTTATTTCATCATCTGACTTTACATTGACCTTCCTCTCGATGATGCTGTCCCATGTATCCATCTCTTCTCCATCAGGGTACAACTTATCCTCAACTTCCTTTTTATCTGTTCCTACCACTGAGCTGCTCGATTCTTGTCTTTTCACAACAGAATGATCGTTTGAAATGTCTTTATCTGTACTGTGATCTGTCACTTGGTTAAAAATAGTTCCTACTTGTTCATATTCAGAGTCCAGACTGCTTGGTCTGGATTCAAATGTTGGTTCAAGCATGGCTTCAGTTTCTGAATCGGATGTTTCCTCTTGTACATGTTCTACCTCTTTGTCAACATGCCGTATCGTCATGGAAACATCTTGAGCCTGTGACTGTAGCACATCTTCGTTTTCACTTTTCTCCTCAAAGGCCACCTGATCCAGTTCATCTGAGGCACACGTGGGTTCTTCTGGCTCGTGGAAACTGCACAATGTAAGGTTTTGTGTTGTGAAGTGATAGAGACCAGCTTCGTCATCTAAAGGTGGCTCATTTCTGAGGCCAGATGCAACCTTCTGACTAACAACGAACTCATTCTCCATTTGTTCCTCAGCAGGCTCAATATCAACACTGATCCTCTCCTCTTCATCTTCTACCTCCAAGGTATTAGCAGGTGCCTCCTGCTCATTAGAATGAGATAAAAGCTTTGCATCTGTGACTTTCTCATGCACCTCCTGTGATCTAAAGTTTTTGTCATCTTTATCCAGAACACTTTTTGGATAACGGCTTTCTAATGTTGCTGGCTTTAATGTATCTACGCGTTTGCTTGAAAAAGTTGGAGTTTCACTTAAAGTTGCAGGTTTTGTACTCTTGATCTGTGTGGCAGTTCCTCTGGTTCTGGTTGTACTGAGGACAGATGAGGGGAAAGTGGGCCTGAAGCTAGCAGGCAGCTGGGTCTGGTAATTCTTTTGGACCCCATGAGGTCTCCAATCTGCATCTGTGGAAAAAAAGAATTCATGAATTAACAATGAGCGAAGCTACTGTAATAATAATGACTTGTACATATACGTCACTAACAGGTGGAGATTAAATGAAAGAAAAAACGATTGGTTAGGACATTCTATTGTAAAGTTTCTGATTTCCCCACAGAATACGACTGGTGTGAGGGGTTAAATAAGGAGACTCTGCACCACCGCAGCGTTTTTAAAATGCATGTTCTCAAGTCAGTTTGAACACTAATGGGGAAATATTGATCGTCATTTCCTTTCATTGCTGTCCAGGATACGGGAAAGCCAAGGCATATGACTCAATAACCAGAGGGGTCCTTGGTGGCTTATATTACAGGACTCAAAGTGCCTAGCTCAGCCCCCTTCTTCAACCCCCCCACCCCACCAGCAGTCTCCTCCAGTAAGACAAATTCGATTACAAACTCTATCAAACACTCAGAAGAGCCTCCCACTCAGAGGAGCTTTTACTTAGACACAGTGAAATGATACTCCGAGCAAAAAGGGGGAGGAATAGACATGAAGGAGACAAGTCATGTGACATGAATCACAGCAGACGGAACGTGACAGGCATGATGTCCATTCTTTATTTGATTACCTCTGATGGAAACATTTCTTGGCTTATCTGCCCTGAGGCCTTCGCTGTCCAGCAGAGCTCTGTGGAAACAAACAGTGTGAGAAAAATGGCGTTTGAAAGTTGCTTAGCTGTTCACTAATAGGGTGACGTTTGAAAATGTGGTGGAGCCTTAAAGGAGCGAACATGATGCTGCACGCAGAGCTGTGGGTGGGAAGTGCTGCTCTCCAGCAGCAGCACACCAAGCTCTGTTGTTATGGTAATGAAGGAAAGGCCCCATCTATTCAGGAGCCATCTGCAGCGCACAAACCTCCACTATCAATTCCTCACGTGCACGCACGCACACGGCCCCAAATGACAGCAGATATTGCAAGCAGCCCATGCAGCACTAATACGGCTCTTTCTATTCGCACATGTGGATCACCACAGCCTCCATTCCAGCACATGTAATTAGCTGCATTGATCCAGTTTATTCAAAATATAAAGAGGCATTGTTAAAATAAAATTAATCAAAACAACGGCTTTACATGAACTAAATGCTTCCGAGGTTTGTCCTCTAGTCATGTCCTCTCCCCACCTGCTCCCCTGTGCTGTTACTCTAGACTCCCACAGCTCATAAATAGGCAGCTTCTCACAAAAAAGGGTGAGGGTCAATACTCTGTGGGGGTGGGGGGTGGGGGGAGACACCACTATAGAGCTTTATAATGGATACGTTACTCTGACCAAGACACGAGAGTCTGATGTTACAGTGAAGTCAGACCAGACGGCTCTTCATCAGCTTCTCGTGCTGATGTTCAAGTTTCGGAGCTGCAACTTTTCAACTGTGTTCAACATGTGTAAACCAGTGGTTCTCAAACTGGGTCCACTGGGGGTTCATGAGCCAGTGCTTGGGGGTCTGCAAAATTTGTAAAAAG